CTATCCCAGAGCATCACGGGATAGATTCCAGAGAAGCACATGGTCCGTATGTGCAGCAGCAGCCCAAGGCCAGCCTATTTCTAGGCAAGCATGAGATGCAGAACAAAGCAACACAACCAAACAGCAATCCCTGAATACACAATGCATAGGTATTCATGCTAGAGACACACACAAACAGCATCACCACTATACAGAAATACAAACATAGGTTCATATCGTAACAACCTGTGCTTCTACATCTGGGAAAGTCCTTGCTATTTTGTTGGTTGAAAATGTTTTGCCCATTTCCCATTTCCCTCCAGAGGGAGGCTTGTATTGCTAATTTTATTCTGCCCCTAGCTTATTACAAAAGCAGCACAGTTACAAAATTTATAGTGCTACATTTGTGGAAAGCTAATGGCAGAGAGCCTTCTAGTAAGCTGTATTGTAGAACATTTAGCTAGTGCCAGTTGCCATCTCTTCTCATTCTTTTCCCCAGTTCATATATTTTCTGCTGTGGCCACTAGCAGGTTTAGGCAGGAAAAGTTGGGAGCTTTTTTATTTGGACAGTGATGTTATATATGTGTGAAAATGTTCTGAGATGGTCAAGTATGCTACATCACATGATTTGATTTACTGCATCTCTGGTGGCCATGAGGTGAGTTCCCAGTGGCTGCCATGCCTTGCCCTTCTTTGTAATGATAGGAGCAAAATGAATTCTGCAAAAATCATTCTGCAAATATACTTGAATGATTCATATAGTCAGCAAAATGTAGCTTTCCCAGTACAGAACTTTGGTCATCCTTGAATATAATTTTTTAAAAGATTTGTGTGTGTGTACTGTTGCCACGTACAATAATGAGGCTTAGTGTTTGTTTTCAAATTGGACTGTTCAATGTGAACTAGACAGTTGTGTTTTTCTGCTGGCATCACAAGTCTGCATAGACCTCAGGCCATCTTTTCATTATTCTTTTGTCCTGTACATTGCAGATGGTGCTGCTGGCTCGCTGTGAGGGTCGCTGCAGTCAAACATCACGCTCTGAGCCCATGGTGTCCTTCAGCACAGTCCTCAAACAGCCCTTCCGCTCCACCTGCCACTGCTGCCGCCCCCAAACGTCCAAACTGAAGGCCATGAGGTTGCGCTGCTCTGGGGGCATGAGACTCACGGCCACCTACCGTTACATTCTCTCCTGCCACTGTGAAGAGTGCAATTCCTAGGAGCAACTGTGTCTCAGCAGAATGAATGGGAGGGTCACAAGCTCAGCAGCACAATTTATACATTTAAGGATAATGAATATGGATTGTATTTGAGAACTACACAGAGTAAACTGTGATGATGCCTGGAAATGTGCTGAACCTAGAAGCGGACCTCAGAATGTATGTCCATGCTGAAGATGGAAAACCTTTGAGGGTGGGACTGTTTTTCAAAAGCATATTTTCCCCAGAAAGATATTGTATCCATTTATCCGGCTAAGCAGCTACTTTGATCCTGAATAAGGACAGAATCATGATGCCTCTTCATTTGAGTGTCCTGCCATTAAAGGTTTTTTTTAAAAAAACAACAACCCTAAAAACATATCAAAGATGTACAGTGGGTAGAAATATATGGAAAATGCTTTATTCTAGAAGAAGAGAAAGACTCTGTTGCTCTATACAGAAGCCTATTGTATCATTTAAAAACACCCCTTAGTTTATATTGGCTTAGAAAATGATGAGTGGTAAAAGTTATATTTTATCTGGTTGGGCAGCCAAGTGCTTGACAATTTATTGTGATTTAGGTGCAGTAACAAAATAAATAACAGAGAATGTAGTGGAACTACTACTGCAGCTCCTACACTGTTGGGAAGACAGTATTATCTGTTGTATGCCAGAAGGGTAATGGGTGGATCGTTTTCATTCATGCATTGGCACAGGTTTCAGTAAAGGGTTTTCATAGGCTAAGTGAGCACATCTATTCATCACACAAATGCAACACCAAGTGATGACTTGCATGCGTGAAACAGTAATCACAGTTTGTATACCACAAATAGCACTTTCATACCACTTGACTATCACGACGAATACCTTGCAGTGGAGACAGGTTCAAGTGATGACATGTTGAGAGATGTACAATTATTTATGAACAAGCCCTTAGATATGGCTGGCAGACACAAAGGGAAATATTGTTCCAAAAGTGCAGCCTTGTTGGCGTGTTGCAGCAAGGGCAAGGCTTTTGGCATCCTAGACCTTAACCAGCTTATTGTGGTGTGGGCTTTTGTAATTAACAGCCTACAGTTATTACATACAAAACTAATGACATGGGAGTCCTGCTTTCATTCATGCATCTTTACAGTCTTCAATTAGTACACATTTCTGTTTCAGATGGAGAATTAGAGGCAGAGATGAAAATTGTACATGGCAGAAATATGGTGGATCCCAAATTGTTACCTCACAGGGTACCAAATCATTTTTGCCAAAATAAGATCAGGCTATTACACTTTTCTGTACTAGACCTGATCCATAAATTGTAAATGTTTCTATGCCTAACAGCAGGTTGACATGGGCCTTTCAGTGTACATAGCAATGTACGAGCTGTGTATTGGATGACAATATGTTCTACAGAATAGTTGACCAGTTTTAGAATAACTTTACCTCCAAATAAACCTGAATGGAGATACTCATGAGGAAATAATGTGCACCCAGAATATTTCAGCTTCCAACACCCTTTCCCCACTTACTGGTATCAAGATCTAAGAATTGCACTCATACTAATTTAGATGGAGAAGTCTTCCTACACAGCACTAAATATGAAAAAGTAAAGATGGGAGCCAGAAATGAGCAGGCAAGCAGCCCATCTGTTCTATGTCATCTAATCTGTCTGGAATAATTGCCATATATAGCAACCAGGATTTTGACAATTACATCACAGAGATTCCATTAAATGCACTGAAGGAGTCCCCAATGTCTCTCGGGGAATGGTTGCCTGGCTAATGAAAACAACAAATGACACGGCCTGATGAATTCGTAGCCAAGCTGCTTTATGACCTACATGCCCATAATTGTGATCATCCAGGGAACACTGAAGCTCTTTGCCATTGGCTCTCCATCAGTCCTAAAGAAAATGGAGACTAGTGGCAGGTGTGAGCAGCTTTCTACAGCTGAATTCATCAGCAGAAAACTGCAAAACGTTAGGTCACCACATATAGATGTGTTTCATCATTTGGACTAGTCTTTCCCGTGCCCCAGTGAAATGATTTGCAACACTGAAAGGATGGACTTCGGAATGTTTTTAATGACTCCTGAAAACATGATTTCTGTATGTCTTTTACATTCTGTTTTATTTATGATATAAATATAAATACTAAATAGGTACCAAAATGAAAGATTTATGGACTTCTCCATTTTTTACGTTTTGATACAAACCCTGCCAAATAGAGTATTGCTGCTCCGGTTTACAGTGGGAAAAAGTCAGAGTAAGGGTGACCCCCAGGAAGCAGCTCATATGAGCAAGTCAGTCTGCCTTCCTTTAACCACCCTTTTCTGCACAAGGCCACTGGTAACTCCTCCAAACAACCACATTGTCAACTGAGAATTGTTATCACATCAGAAAAATGCATCCTCTGAATCGAGGCTGTAACATTTAATCGAGGCAGAAGTCTTCCACAGGATCTTTCTTTTTCTGTGAGGGGAAGGATTAATGTTGGTTCCAGGCCAGGGTTAGGGGTGTCCAGTGGCAACACGGTTACTAATGGTCAGCAGGGTACTTTCAGGTCTGACCGCATTGATGACCTGCATAAAAGGCTGGGGAGATCACTATATCCTATTTCCGCCTTCCCTCTTCACTCCAATAGAACTTAGAGGAAGGTAGTCGAGGGACAAAAGTATTCATCTGGCAATGCAGGGCTGCAGCAGAAGGTATGGATTCCAACCCAAAGAATGCTTGTTAAATAATGGTGAGTCCTTCAACATCTGCTGCACCAAGGAATCAAACACAGAAGCTTTTAGGATTTCCAGCAAAGTAGTTTAATATTAGCGTATTTTATGTTTCCCCCCCTCCATTCAGAACAATTAAAAATGGCTGTCTTGTACATTACACATGTATTCATTACACTGAGGATGCCACTGAGTATCTGCAGCATTAACAGTCTAGAGCTGTGGTGGAAGTTCTTAAAGTTAGTCCAATAACTGAATAGCTTTATCTGAGGAAATGCAGTGTCTCATTCTTTCAAACTGGTAGCCATGTTATTTCTGCTGGCTGCATCTCTAGTTTTCCCCCTACTCTGTGGCATTTGGAGATATTAATGTAGAACAATAATCTTTCCAAGCTAAAAAATAGAGAATTATGATGTGTAATCCAAAAGCATGCAAATATGCTATTCTCCCCCTTGATGAAAAGAGTGTGGAGTCTAAAAAGCACTTTCAGCCTACAACCTCCATAGGAAAAAAATATTAATAGGAAGACTTGGACTGTCCATATTTCCATATTTCCTTTGCTATTGCAATACAAGAAATTATCACCAAACAAGATGTTTTTATATTATTAATATTCTGTTACAGATTCCTTTCTGTTAAAAATAATAATCATGATCTCATTATGGTGTCAAAGTCTCTTAGTGGCCATAAGAACATAAGAGATGCCAATGTTGGATCAGGCCAAAGGCCCATCCGGTCCAACACTCTGTACCACACAGTGGCCAGAAATACCAGGTGCCATCAGGAGGTCCACCAGTGGGGCCAGGACATTAGAAGCCCTCCCACTGTTGACCCCCCCCCAAGCACCAAGATGACAGAGCATCACTTGCCCCAGAGTCCCTATCTATCCCTTGTGGCTAATAGCCACTGATGAACCTCTGCTGCTGACTTCAATGTCATAAATGTCATAAGGCATTAACATGCAATGAAGTTAAGTACATTGTTTTGGAGGGAAGGTGTCATGGTATAGCCTGATCTTGTCAGATCTCAGAAGTTAAGGAGGGTCAGTAGTTGGATGGCAGACCATCAAAGAAGACTCTACGGAGGAAGGTCATGGCAAATCTCCTTTGCTTCTCACTTGCCTTGAAACCCCCTTGCTGGAATTGTCATAAGTTGATTGTGACTTGATGGTACTTATGTATGTAAGTACTTTATTAAGTCATAATAATGTAAGCTGGTAAATTCAGTAATTAATAATCAGTCATTAATGTCTATAGCAATGAACTCATTACAGAATTAGATCTTCAGTGCCATCCAAAGCAGAGTTTTAAGTTCATGGAAGTCAATGGCCTCAGGTATAACTCTGCTTAGGGTGGCACTGCTGAATGCCTGGAGTGTATCGCTTACATTCTTTTGTAGAGAGCTACATTTATTTACATATTTACTTCAATTAAACCTCATCTTTCTCTTCAATGGGGACTCAAAGCAGCTTACATCATTCTTCTCTCTTCCATTTTATCCTCACAATAATCTTGTGAGTTGGGTTAAGCCGAGACTGTGATGGACCAAAGTTCACCAAGCAAGCTTCTATAGCAGAGTAGGGGACATGGTTTCCATTGTTTTTTCCTGTAAACTCTCTGAGGTAGAGGAACAAGAAAGAGGCGGTTAGCTTTGAGATTTCTTAATGTTACTTGGAAACTGTTTATCACGCTTGAATTGTTATTTCTAGAATAGTCTTGAGGTAAGATGTTGCCATACTGTTTTCCTCACAGGGATCAGATTTTGCTTCTCTGCCAGGCTTTTTGTCACACATTCAAATACACACTCCAATACACACACACACACAAAACCAAACCAGAACACAAACCCTGAGGCTCTCTAAAATTGGTAACAGTTTTTGGTTTTTATAATACTGAAATATACCGGGTTCAGATGCGTAGAAGTGATCAGCTCATAGTATTAGTGATTCAGCAAGAGAAATAAGAAGACTGCAATCCCTGGCCGAAGCCAGGTATTTATGCCTGAAAAGGCTAACACCCCAAAACACCCCACTCCCAATGATAGGCTATTTACACTCTATTGTTTCCCAATTGGTTTACTCTAGGATCCCTGTCTCCCTACTGGTCCATTCTAGGATCCTAGCAATCTATTGTTATGCATCCCAAGCTCAGTCCTTTTGCAAGGACAATTCAGGCTCAATACATAACACCATAGGACTGTGAACAGTCTGTCCTGCCCCCTTAGCAGAGGCTTAACATGTGGAAACGGGCAGCTGAAGCTTTTCATGCCATGAAGGTAAATAACATAATTTGATAAACAATATCCCATCAAGGGACAGAGCATTTCCCCCCTCCAGATTATTGGTGATTTTACTAATGTAGTGCTTCAGTCACTAGACTAGCTTTTTTCCCAAACTACATTTGTTCTCCAAAATGGAATTGTCAGAATAGAGGGAAGGTTTGTTCTTGGAGCTTACCGTTCGAGTATGGCAGAAGGATACTAATCTCTGGCATCCTCCTGTTACTTGTGCATCCACCTTGAGGTGAGGTAGTGCTGGACTCTGGGGACAACCTTCCATTCCCATAAATGCTTAATAGCACTGTGATCACTGCTTTTAATCAGTGCAACATTTACATCTTGCATCATGTCCTCAGCACCACTTAATTTTGCCTCCCCTCTTGCTGGTTCTGCAAACAATTGCTCCAAGACACATTTATTTGTGAGCTTGTCGTACCAAAACCTGGGCATGCCTCAAAACCTATTTTCTGAATATTGCCCCATGATCTG